AACGCTTTGCATCCAGAAACTCCCCGAATGTCTGGTCTTTCAAGAAGTCGGATTTGTTAAATACAATTCATCAGGACTCAAGGAATTCAAGCATTGGATGAAGGCCACCGTCAGATGATTTCTTTTCGTTGAAATATTGCATGCAGTGTTTGTTTTATAGAAGAAATATACTAAAAAGAAATTTAAATTCCAAAATTTAGGTGTAATAAATGACTCTTCCAATTCACCATTTTAGGTGGACCTGGCATGGAGTCCCACAACATTTTCCTCAAATCTTATCCAATAATTTTATGATTGGCCCAGTGGTCTATGATGACCCTACACCCAGCTTGACTAGCCCAGCTTAAACGGTGATCTAACATTTAACCACATTTGTACTGCATCAGTAAATGCCACTTCTCAGCTTCCAAATATTTCTGACATCATAAGACAACTTCAGTCAAGTCACTTCTAGTAATATCAAATACATGCCAATTATATAAGAAAGAAAGACGATATGTCTCGGCCGACAACCTACTAGTCAATTGTTTCAGTGCTATATCCGTGGTGTATGTCCTTAATCAACTGACTTAGGTATTTGACCTTCGTTACTTATCCCTCCAGCAACGATTTTGGCATTATCTACTCAATATTTCTACTTGGAGGTTTTGATCCAACAATTCAACTAACACTAGATAGCCTGTAGTACTCTTGTGTTGTCTATCAGCGTCACACCTCTGTAGTATAGTGTAAATTTGCCCTCACACTGAAAGGCATATAGATCATCTTACTTGCAATATTCAGTTCAGGTAAACTAGAAGCATTGTTCTTATTTACATCGAGACGTTTCCAGTCATTGCAGAAGAGCCGACTAAGGTTCAGGAGCACGTATTGTGTTTATCTTTTAGACTACAATTTTTTGTGATGACGTTTATTTAAAAATAATTTCATGAAAGTCTCTGATTTTCAGAACTCCATCATAAACCCACTTCTTGGGCAGGCAACCTGTTTGGATGAACTTTCACTCATAATACAAATAAGAGGTTAGCTGTTAAATAATTTTTACTAAGTGACTTCATAACCTACAGGAATAAAAGCTTAGGAACGGCTTGAACGGTTATAAAAGCATTCAAAGGTGACATATTTAATGCCAACTAAGCCAAACATTATTCCATAAAGTTAGATAGTCGTATTGCATGATAATAACAATGATTTCAGAGTGTCTGTCATAGCTTAGTGGTGTGGTGGATACTTTTGTGACGTTTGGAGCGATTGGTCTTGTGCTCCAGTCTTAGTGAAAACAACATCACTAACTGGAAGGCAAGTGGGTCCACCTGATGAGTTCAAAACAGGACGAAACCTGCATTCTGTATCCCACTGCTAAATGCTATCCTTCAGTAATACATTTCGAAGGTTTTCTGTTTGCATATGACTAGAACGATGCATATGGCGTCTTTAAACAATCTGTCTGACAGTCTGTTCAGTTTAGTCACATTTTAATTTATTACATAGGATTATCTTCCTACACTGATGAACATAGGAACATGATGAATTGAAGTCATAGTGAGAAAACTTAACGCAGTGAAGACGTTGACAATATTCATTTCAGAGTGGGTTGACGTTACCTCTATGTGAATGATATTGGACTATCCAATAACATCACCTCAACATTGCAAGTCAGGATGAAATAGTCGAAAATCAAAAAGTTACTTAGGGTGAAAAGAAAACATATATGATAACTAAACTACGCAATAAAAAGCGAATATAGAAGAGAAGAATAGGTAAATACACACTGCTCAACTCAGAAGAAACTCGCTACAAAGTTTCCCTAAAAATAAAATCTCATGTCTTCTAGAAGTATCACGGAAGAAAACTTCTAAAATGATGTTGACAGACCACGTTAAAAACTTTTAAGCTTAATAAGCAGTAAGACTAACTAAGGACCACAAGACATGAACTATTTAGGCATGTAAAACGTCAAAGACAAGAAATATATGAGCATATTGTTGCTTCTGATAATTTCTTTCTAAGGTTCTACTGCTATAACTGTATTGCATAATAGTCACCGAAAGGCATATAGATAATGTCGATACAACTAATCTGTCTAATTTTCTATGTTGTATGAAATCTCCTAAATACGATATACATATAAATCCGATTGTGCTAAGATTATATATATCCCCTACAGGGACTATCGTAAAATATAATAGTGGTACAGCCTGAGGACAAAGTTATCGAAAACAATTGTTTACTCTGTGATTTCTCGTTTTGCACGCTAAACTGACCAAACTCTTCTCTGATCTGAATAAAAAATTAATGTACTTCCGACTAATTACGTTCTCAATTAATTGTAAATCCATCAATTTTTCATTAGCGCACAAAAATGGTTCTAATATATGCAATTTATTTCGAAGGGTAGTAATTGAAAGAGCTGATTACCAGGTTGACTGACTTCTGAGTTACAAAAATTTAGGAAAATGGTTTATAAATACTGGTAGAGATAAAAATTGTATCAACTAGCTGATCTTAAAGATAAGTGATGAAAGCTGTTCTGTAATATAATTTTCGACAACCCCGCTGTCTTGTTTATTTACAATATAGCTAAAGATATTGTATTTTATCCTTATAAGCCACCGGACTTAGTCTGTGGCAGAGTAATCTACCTGTCAACAAATCAAACTTCTATAGCAGAAAGTAAATGTTACGGCTAATGACCACAGTCACGCATGGATTGACGTCAACTGTATGTTATGGCGTAGTTGGATAACGTCATATGCACACTCTAGGTCAAAAACCTTTTCCTAGTAAAGGGATCTGTCTTACTAAGGCTCATTCTCTTCGTAGTTATCCCAGGGATATTATATATATATATATATATAATATATATATATATATATATATATATATATATAATTTGGATCGGAGAAACCTAACACAACAAGGATGTCTCACTTTAAAATCGGTATGGATCAATAAAGACTTTGGATTCACCTTCTGATGGTATATTTTTACATAAGGTTTTGAAAAAGTTAGTAAACCGAATGAGAACAGATATCTACAGTATAGGGGTCTAGAGTGCCATTGCGTCCAATGAGAATAATGCAGCAAACTTGGCATCAACTATGCTACGTAGTTCTTTTATTTTACTCACATCTGAAAAAACCCTTAAGGATAGAAGATAAAAGGTTGCTCAGTGAAGTGGTGACATTGAAAACGGTTAAGTTTGCAAAGATAACTTTCAGTTTTTTTCATGAGTTGTAATTTTTATTGAAAAGTGATTTTATAAAGGAAAATGTATGTTTTTTCTTCGGTATATATTTAGCAAGGTAGACAAAGCAAGGTAACGATGCAGTAAATACATGTTGGAAAGTTTATGAACAACTGTTGACCAAGTCAATGAATAGCGTTTGGATACAATAATATCTTTTAGAATCTAGCAAGTTCACTGATATCCATTAGCCTTCCCTATCTACTGCTTACACACACACACACACACTAAAAATCAGATCGACTTTATCTCAATCTCAAGAAAGCAGAGACGCAGCCTACTTGACACAAGGCCAAGAAGAGGAGCAGATGTAAGTTCAGACCACTATCTAGTGCAAGGAACCTTCCAAATCAAGTTAAAAGCCTTCAAGGAAGTTGGTGATAGACAACAGTTCAAGTTCAACATCCAGAACAGAAACAAAAGGACGAAACTACAAAGAAAATCTTCACAGCAGCCATCAAGACAGAATGGGAGATATCTAGCAATATCCCTGAAGAAACCTGTGTGGATGAGCACTGGAACTCTTTGAAAACTATGTGGAAAGAAACTTGCATAACCGTATTACAAAGGAAAAAGAAAGAGGATAAGGAATGGATCTCGATGGACACATGGAAGCTGAAAGAGGAGAGGAGGATGGTGAAGCAGAAGATGAACCAGTGCAAGGGTGCATAAGAAAAGAGGAACTGGGTACAATGTATAAAACAATAGACAAAGAAGTGAAGAAGAATGCGCGGAATGACAAAAGACACTTCAACGACACACTTCAAAGTGAAGCAGAATAGGCTGCAGGTAGGAGAGTTAGAGACCTGACAACACTATATCAAATAACCAGGTTACTATCTGCGAAGAAATCAATACAGATAAAATCAGTGAAAGATAGTGGAGGAAACCTAGTTACCACCGAAGAAGAGAAACAGAGGACACGATGGGCTGACCACTTTAAAAAACTCTGCGATCGACCACCACATGCAAGTCGTCCAGAAATACCACCAGCAGCCCAGTCACAGAACTACCAGCGAACACAAATCCTCCTCCTGAGCTTCATAAAGCTACTGAACTGCGGGAAAGCAGCAGGACCAGATAGGATCCGCCAGAAGCACTGGGAGCAGACGCAGAGACAACAGCGGACATGCTCACACCACACCACTATTGCAGAAGGACGAGGACGTCAAAGCCAGGATCGTAAAAGTAAGACAGGCGTTCATTAACCTGAAACCAGTGTGGAAATCTTATGCACTCAGCACAAAGAACAAGATCTGGATTTTCAACACCAACGTCAAGTCAGTGCTACTACACGGTTGAAAAACCTGGCGCGTTACGAACGGCATTTCCAACATACTACACACATTTATCAACAGCTGCCACCTACGCTCAATCGATACTGAAGATCGGATAGCCAGAAAGAATAAGCAACAAGGAACTCTGGCCGGCAACGAATCAACCAAGAACCTATCACCCAACAAATATGCAGAAGGAAGTGTAGAAGGATTGGGCATACACTGTGAAGACCGACTGGGAAACATCACGTGCCAGGCCAGGCTCTCAAGTGGAACCGAGATGGTAAACGAGGAGTTGGGTGTCCGAGAGTGATGTGGAGATCATGTGAGAAAGAAATGAGAGCTTGAGGGCTGTCGTGTAGCCAGGTTCAAAAGTTTTCAGAGAACGGTGTGCACTGGAGACGTGCTACTGAAGCGCTATGTTCCATTAGGAACCTAAGGGACAAATAATAATAATAATAATAATCTACTGCTTACATTTCACAAACAAATATTTTTATGTATATATTTGTAAGTGAAATAGCCAACCCGAATATATAATGCGCATTAAAAAGCCTAAAAAATATAATGACACATGAAGATATCACAGTCTATGGCTGAAATGTTTACATAACATGCATATGAAAACTGTGATCAGAGACAACAGTGGATAGGTTAACAGTAAACTGCTGAAGAAGAACAATTAGGGATGTTGCCTTTTTTTAAAATTCATCTTCTGTCACAAATGTGCTCAAGATTTTTTCAGAAAATTGTGGAAAATTTATTAAACAGGCAATCATTTATTCTTTATTCCTCAGAATCTCAAAGTTTGAAATATTTCATCAAAATAACAAAAATAGTGTAACTGAATACTTAACAATCTATTGAAGTTAGACATTTCGGTAAATGTCTCAGAACTACACTGTGCAAAAGTATATGAGTAATATTTCCAAACATTACACAAGATATTGGCTTCATTTGTAATACAAATATACTACTTTTGTAGATATCATTTCTGCTGGTTTGTTGGAATATACACGCAGCATTTTCTGCCGTCATAAGGATTCACGAGTCAGAGAATCACCATATTATTTCCTTATCACACAGAAACGTTTTACTTCAAATGACTTTTAGTTAGGTGGATGGTGTGAAGCACTTAGTTAAAAGTTGCCTTTTGTACTGCACAGAGTAAAAAAAACATTTTCAAAGACGAAAATAATGTTAGTCACAAGTATTGGCTTCTTATTATTTAGAAAAACAATCATTCACCATGGATAACAGTGGAGTGGTGTAAAGTTCGTGTAGGCAAAATTCATTAACCATAGTCAAAAGGAATAAACTATATATTGCACAGTAAAAGAGGAAAGAGTACTGTCTTTTAAAAAAACTATTGTGGACAAGTTTGTCTGTTATACATTAGCGGTTTCTATTGTAAAATAAGCCTAAATACTTCTCTCCTTTCCAATGATGGTTTGATTAACGCTAAAACTTGAACTATTCGTTTTCCTGCTAGCTGTCTCTGCTTGCTTGGAAGATGTCCTCTTCTTATTGATTTGGAAAAAGGTTTCAAAGTTATGATCATCATCTTCATTATCGGTGAATTGTTTTAGATCTTGAGAATCTGTATTATTACTTACATTTGATTGTATTGTTCCATTTAGTGATCTCATTTGACTCAGATTTAATAATTCAGTTGGATTAATGGTTTGAATACTGCCATCTTGGTATATTTCAGAATGTTCTCTCATACACTGATATATTGGTGGTAAGCTTCCCATTTGATAACTGTTAGGCCACTGCATATAGAATACAGAACCAATTAAAGGATCTAAGTGTAACATAAGAAAAACCACAAGTGAGTTGTTATTTTTAACACTTTAAATGACTAACACAAAATACTTAAAAAACAAAGATTTGATGCCATTACTTTCTGTGTTACCATATACCATTGATGAGCTTCTTTCGGTAAATCAAAGCAGAGGAATCATCGTTTGAATGTCTCACTAAAACTGTAGATGCTTGGTCTTTGAACTTGATTTTCATCAAATGCTAAAGTTAACTGAGTGAACAATGCAGAAATGTGAGTGTCTTCCTACGTTATCAGAAGCAAGTTGACAAACAAATTCACATGAGGCTAAATCTGTTAACTTAAAGCTTGAGTACGTTGACTTATCATCTAAGATATACAAGTAGAAAGATTGACTGAAGATTGTTCTAGTTTTTATAAAGTTGACTGAAATTTCTGTTATAAAAGTGATGTCTGGAACTTCTAGTCAGTAATTCAGAGCCTCAGATCTCGGGGGATTGGATACCTTTAATTTCATTCCTTGCATACATATCACAGGCAGAGGTAACAAAGACCAATAAAACCAAAATTTTCTACTTCTAACTTTTTACACCAGTCCACCTGCATACACCAAATAGATTGCATTGGGAAGGCAAAAGGAATGATTTATTTGAGATATCTGAAACATGTTCTGAAGTATCTAACATTCAATGAACAAAATAATTGCAATAGTTCGATTGTTAATAACTCATTAAGTATTATACACTATGAAGACTCTGAATAATCAATGATAATAGTTATTTGGCAACCAGTTCAAATGTTTGTCATTTTACTCAAATAATAGCAAAAGAGGCTATTAGACCAGATTCATAAGAATTCAAAGTTAAACAGTAATTAACTTCCAACTATTATAGTAATGGATTTCTTAAGCTCTTGTCGCATTCAATTATATTGTCTTTTCCTAAAAATTTGTATTTCACGCTAAATTTTATTTTCATTGGCTACTGAACTAAAAATGTACTTATCGTACTGCTGAAATGTTGCAAATAATAAATGCTATACAAATTGCGATAGCATGGCATTACTACAGTCAGCAAACAGTATCTTCAGATATAAATATGATAAAATGTGTCATTTTCTGTTTAAAGCAACCACTTTTTTACGATTTCATCAGACATTGGCAGTACATAAATTCAATAAGTAAGCTGGTTACATTAGTTGCTATGTTCAAGTTCGTAGAACCAAACAACTCCACTATTATCAAACCAGTGTTGTAGGATAAGTTCTCTGAAAGTTGTTAAGACTTGAACAATGAACAGTGAAGATAGTTGACAAGCTTCACGAACAAAATGTAATCGGTTGTCTATTGAATTACTTGGACTAGTAGTCAGAAGTCGCTGACGTGGTTTATACTGTGAAGCAAGTTTTCTTCCATCTTCTAGCATTGCTCTGTACACATAAACAAAGTAATCCACAGCCTCGAACCACCTTTCTAAGCCCTAAAAGTCAAACGTAAGAGTACATCACGGTCAATAAGTTCATTCGTTTTTGCTTTGAAACTAACACTGAAGATCTGTTTCTTTTGGAATTCGTCATTGTATTTTCTAGTAGTGGCCGAAATTCAGCCCTATTATTATTATTTTAAAACGCGAAACGTCCTCTTTGTTAACTTTAAATCTAACTATATCTACAGACTTTTCAAATCCTATATCATCTTAAGTTTGTGTTTTCATTATTTCTGCTTTAGCGTTGATTACTCATTCGAATCATCCGAGGTATTTCTGTGGGTCCCTCCTGGTTAGGTGTGCTTATCATCATACAATCCATTCAAATGGTATCGACATATTTTTATTTGTCAGTTAAAGAGGTTTCATGTTGTTCAGTTTGATTGTCTGGATACTTCAAAGAAACTCAAAATCTTCGAGTCCATTCACAACTAATCAACCGACCTTGAAGTTTTGATAAATGACAGATGACCATCATATACACATAAATATTAAATTACTTAAAAGGAGAAAACCACTAGAGAACACCCTTTTGGAAAGATCGGGTATATATGTATAATGTAGCTTTTGTTCATATTTTAACATTGCAATATGCATTCTGCTGTATTTCCATCTTTTAAATTTTTGAGGAATCGATAGGTAGTTAAGTGCTTAATCTGAATGTTACTGTTCAAACTTTCACAAGTCCATATAAACCTAACCAAGTTATTTCAAAAAGTCTTAATTAAATAATTTCTTCAGTTTCAGGAAAAGTGGATACCTACAGTTTTGTAGAGTTCGATGTGACTTGCTTTCGTCTGAACTGAATCAGTACTTCCCCAGTAAACATGGAATTACAGAATGTTTGTAGATCAGAAGTTTTAGACATCTGTTATCAAGGAGATCAAGAGTCTTTATCAGTCGCGTTATTTTGGTGAGTATTCCTTTTGTAGAACAGTAGTAAGGTAAAGGTTTACTTGAACTATCAAGTAAACTGTATACTTTTTAAGTTAAGCCAGTTTTATAAGGCGGACAGTTAATATTGGATTATGTTACTTATTGATGAAGTATATCTGTGCTCTCTTCTTTTTCTTCATGTTGAAAAGATTAACGCATATTTGGATGCAGAAATAATAACACTGCATTCAAACAAGAAAAGCAGTCATCTTTTTTTGCGGTTATTTTAATTTAACCATGTAACCTTATTTGTGAACTTTGATCCCTTGTCTAACCCATTATAGTCCATAACTGCATCTTGACCAACCACCTGCTGATTTCGCTGGAATAAAGACACCTGAGAGCTATGTAAGTTCATTTTACTGCTACTTAACTTATCCCGCGATTGAAAATAATGATTACGTATTAAACTAAAGCGAATAAAATGTTAACTCAGAGTGTAACACAAATGAAATGAATCTGTACTTGCTGAGTCGTCGGTTCACCTTTTTTCTATTTCTGTTTTCCCTTCGAAATTCTCGAAGTCACCGCTAAACTCACGCTGCTCTACGCGCCGCCTGTAACGACGTACCTACATACAGGCTAGATGAAAACGGATCAACAGCTGGTCGTTACAAATCCAATGTCTCTTTCTTCGTTATTAGTACTGTAAGCAAAGGGTGTGTTATCGAATTCAGTGGACGCGCTACTGTGAAGCAAACTGCAAAATATATCCAAAGATCTTGAAGTTTTGATACAGTACATAGCATTTATAAGCCAGAATAAAAATTATAATAATTCCTTACACCTCATTGAGCTTTGATTGTTATTTATGTTATCCGCACAAAACTAGCCTGCGTACTAATTAGCATAAAAACTGTTGGCTGAAAATTTCAATCAGAAGGTTGTTAAGGTCAATAGTATTGGAAAGTATGAAGTCAACGGCTAATAGCTACTAATATAGTCATATTTAAGCACAATCATAATTCTACAGTTGATACTGGGTTTGTGAATGAAAACTCGAATTAAACAATGAGTTTCACTAATATCATATTTCAAAAACAATAATTTCTTAAGATAAATTTTAAAACGAGTTGATCAGTCTGACAGGCAAGTATTATTATTGTCAGTTTATTGTATCATATTACTATTTGAAAATGAGAAGTTGATATAACATACACCTAGAAAAAACCTTTCGTTTCGCAAAGGGATTAGTTAAATATACGTAAACTAAAGTGTTCTCATATATATTTCATTATCATTTTTTGCAACTAATGAAACATTTAGGTGTAAATAAAACGAGTTCTAAGTCTCCAAAAACTGGAAATTGTCATGTCCACATACATTCAGTAAGATTTGAGAGTATACATAGATAAAACGTGACGACTTTAAAATAATGAAATGTATGTTTTCACGAATATAAGGTAGTTTGGTGTATGCACTAAGAATGCTGTCATTTATTGATAAATTTGGTTACATTCTTAAGCGTTTATCTGACTGAAAGTCAAGCGAATAGACTATAGGCTATCATTCATTTTCTAAGCTATGAACTTGCCATGTCTCCTTGGGGTAATAAAAACATCTTGTTACATAAAACCTACTTCTAGAACTTTAGGTTTTGGATGGAATGTATAACAATACATATTTCAAATAGCCATTTGAAACTGTCTCTTGGTAGTCTAGCACTGTTATAAACGCTCAGTAACAGCCGCTTATCCACTTAGTATGATTGTTATTCTTTTTGTAATTTGAATAGCGTGAATCCTATAAAAAAGTGACAATATATGACACCTTTTTTGCTTGATGCATATAGCTTCTTGTTAGAAAATTTGTAAACTCTGGTTCTCATGTTTGTAAATTAACTATGTACGGCTGCTGAATTTATTTATTTCCTATATACTTACATAGATTGCATTAACTATCTTCTAATCATATTCATATCACGAATTTATTCTAGTCTCAAATCAGGAAGAAAGTTGCTCTTGATTTAATATTATTTGCTCGTTAAAATTGTCGATTTGTACAGTACAGTTCAAAATGCAACGATTATTACCGTTGTTATAGAAAGCTAAATAATTTTCATGAAACCACAAAGCTATATCACAACAGGAATATGATATCATGCATACCCTTCAACATCCCTTCACATTTTCATCTTTTTTATTTGTTTGTGTGTTATCAGCGTTTCAGTATACCTACTTTCCATAGAGTTTCGAGAAAAGCATTCAGTAACCAGATCTGTTTATGTCCCCCTAACTTTGCTACAATTTCTGTTACCTAGTACTCAAGACTTTTAATTAGTACTTTTAAAAAGGAAGCTAGCACACAAAATACCAGAAAATGCATGATAAGCAACCAGTTTGAATAATTCCAGGTAATATGTCATGCAGCCAAAAAACAATTCAAATAACCATTGTAAATATTTACTCCAATATGCATTTAGAAAACAGCACACTGACTGTGAAATGCCGAAACTTTTGTGACTGATTATAGCTGTTTCATGGGACTTGCTGATTAAAAAGTGGGATAATTTGAAGGTGTACAAAAGATTTGCAGTATCTAAACAGAATTACTGCAGCAGATAGAGAGATTATCATCCAGTTATTAAACATATTACGCCTCACTAAATGATGATATGCGCTTTAGAGTCACTGTGTGTTGACACAAACGATCGTTCTGTTATAACTGGTGTCTTTATTTAGCATTCTTCAACAAAAGACTCTGACTGAATGCGCTCTGAAAGATAAGCTAGATTTCCATTTATTTAATTATGTCAATGTTCAACCTTTGTAAAACAGTAAGGGGGCTTGTATACATTGGAAAAACATCTAAGGGATTCTGTTTTTCAACAAAAGCGATAACTTCCTTACTATCTTAATTTTTATTCTGCGCAATTTCGGGTTAGAGAGCGAAGGCTACAGAAATGCTTTGGTAGGAGTTATTGTTTGCGCAATTTTATCATCACTGGCGTGTACGAACGAACCAAACACACTAACTCATAGAAAGGATGGAGAAACTGTCTCAAATTTTTCAATTTCCTCTGTAAACTGATTGCTTTTACACACAAGAAATATAGTAATTTATCTATTTGGAATCTTTAATAATTCTAGTATTTCTCACCATGTAAGAAGGTAGAATTTGGTGTGAAATTAAACTGGTCAGTAAATGCACAATAGTTCTCAAATTTCGTTATAGATAAACAGAAGTTAACTCAACATCCATTTGTAAAAAGGCGGAAAATTTACGCTCCTCCATAGTTTTTCAACTAAAGTTTGAATTTAGGTAGAACGTATCTGCCATATTTGCTACGGCAGAAGCTGAATGATGCTTTAATTTAACTATCATTATTTTACATTCGAGATTCTCCAGTTTTAATGTGAATGAAACACTTGAATCCATTCTTCTAGATGGGATTCAAAACATGACACATTCTGGTTTAAAAATGCATAACGGAAGCATGAATGTTAGTACAGTTATGATATAAGTACCACTTACGACAACGAATGACTTACTTGATTTATTTGGTGCTTCAAATAATTCATATGACCCCGCTATTCTACCATCTTTATGATTGGTATTGGTGGTACCAATGACTATAGGGATAGGTAATAGAAGGTCATGATGAACATGAGAAAAGCGTCTAAAATCCTTCTTTTTACCGTGTTTGCTCTGTTGGAATGTAATGACTTGAGGTTTCTTTGACAAGGCTTCGTAAGTACCAACACCTTTGCCATAAGTTTCATGCATATAAATAAACTCTATGGATTTATCTGGTATAACTGACTTGATATTATTATCTAAAATCCACTTGGTTGATTTGAGTGACGTTTTCAGCCTTTTCAATTTGAAACTAACTAATCCGAGACTATATGCAACATCAATGCATGAACAACCTTCCAAACTAGTCGGTGGTAAGGGAGGTATTTGAAAAGAATGTTCTAAAATGACTCTCAGGACATGTTTTTCGGATGTTTGGCGCTTTTGCATTTCTCCTCTGTAGATATCTCGTTCTTCTTGAGCAATAACGCGGTTGGTCCAGTCTCGGTAAGTTATCACCTAAACACAAGAAAAGAATATTTTGAACAATTGATTAACTCTGATGATCTTTAATTGGTTTTTCAAGCCCAGTGTAATGATATTCTTCACATATGGTCATCAATATAGAGGTTTTGCTTCTATACTTTTGTTGTAAAGTTGGACCTTCTATTCCATGTTAATTTGCTTGTTGAATGTTTCACACAATAAAATAGTGTTATCTACTGGATGATATTTCATACACATTTCATTACTATGAAATCGCCAATATTTTCACTAGTGGTAGATATATTCATGGATATCTGGAAAGAAATGGCTTCTCGGAAATTTACTCCTGATCCCAAGAGATGATGGAGATACGCAAATAACACATATACGGTATTGAAGTGAGAGAATATTGAATGATTTTCGACAGAACCAGTTATGCTGGGTCACAGAATAAAGAGGAGGTAAAATGGGTGTTAAGACAGTAATATCTACAGGCAATCAAGACATCAGTATTGGTACTTAGGTTTTAGCTCATCTCATCCTATGTCAACTAAAATAGGTCTAGAGAAATGCTTAAACAACAAAGTAGGATGTCTCAACTGAAAAAACGGGAAATCTGCTATGGAAAATAAAACAGTAAAAAGCTTGCGACTCATCAGGTATCCCTATAAAGGGATCTAGGAATATATAAGAAACTGTTAGAGAAGGATGGCTAACATAGACAAAAATGGCATACATAGTAATGACAAAACTATGAAACGAGTGTTCAAGACTTCAACGACGTTATGATATCAGAAAGACAACTCAGGAAGTTAACTTAGGATATTCAAATATGGATTCTGTTCAGAAAAGTTTAAAAGCTTTCTTCATCCCATAATTTATTTATTTCAGTTTGGCAATAATAAGAAACTCATGAAAACAAAAACTCATTTTATTTGAAATAATTATTTCTTGATATGATGAGCTGAAAATAAGACCTTTTTATAGTATTTTTATGTCAAACATATCTTTTCATTAATAACATCACCCAGCATGATGTTATATAATTTAGGCTTGAAGAAACTTTAGGTAGAAATATCATTTACGCACACGCTTGCCTCATTTTCGGTGTAGTTTGAGAAACACTATTAAAAAGGCATTTTGCATTCAGCAAGATGCTGTTCTGCAGTAACACATATGACGATGACTGTTAACGTGTTCTTAGTGGAACCAATACAATTAAGCAGTTCAAATTCTGCAGATATCTTTGATACAATCTTACCTCGCATTCTAGCTTCCTCAAACAGAAAGCTGATTAACAGATTTAAAAAAATTAGTGTAAGGGTATAAATTGGGCACTGTGATGGTGTACAATTCTATATTAAATCGTTCATTTGATATTTCACACAGTGAAATAGCATTATTTACTGGATGACGTCTCGACTAGAATTTATTATTCACTTTCATACCAAATATTTGAAAAGAATTTAAATTACTGCTAAAACTTTGATTTCCTTGTCTAAATGACTGACAGAACTGCTATCTGAGAGTACTCTACTCAGATGCCATTTGAATTGGGGCGCCTACAGATCCTACCTAGGACGGTGATTAAAATTTCAGACTGCAGACAGACCTTGCTGAAGGATGATGAACATCATAGTATCTTCGCTTAGATTACGTTATTGAACATTAACAAACATCTCAAGTAAGGTGAAGCTTATCAACCTTAAAACATTTCACCTTTAAAGCGAAATATCATTCTCAGTGGATAAAGCTTGCATAATAATGAGCACAGAATTTATCGAATAGTGTACACTATGATAAAATCGAGTGATATCTAGGAAACACTTCCCGGAAGTGATTGTGACTAATTGCAGAATAAATACTGATTTGATACCTATTCTCTATTTTTGTGCAGAAAAATTAAATTTAACTAAATCTGACTAACTGTGATTCTTTTCAGTGGACACAATAAAATATTCTACAATATTCGTGTAAATTTAATTTCCTATAATGTTTATGAAAGGAAATTTAGCACAAGATTTTACATACCTGTCGTAAAATCAAAAATATCCTGTGTAGTTGCTTATTAAATCCTGACCAACAAAGTTCATTGACTTCTTTCCCTTCGTCATTGAAAGTCTGCCGCATTCTGTCCTCTAAGTAATATGAAACAAACGCTCTTGCCAATGGACTCCATAAATCTTTTTTATACGATTTAGTCTTTGTGCTGAACTTTGCGCACCAGTTCAAATCATACGAGTTGTTATTCAAAGATGGAGCTAGTAAAAGTGCGAATGGATCTTCGATAAGTAAATTTAAACACGCTGTCAATCGGCTGCCTGGAAATAGTTGTCGTTGACTAACTGTCAGTCTGCAAGAAATTGGATAACCTGTTTGAGCACCAAAGCATGTACGTGGATATGTACCATATCCTAAACCACAGGGACGAGATAACCAGGAAGAAGGTAAGGGGAATGGATTATCACTGCATCGTTGTAAAGTCAATGTTGTTTTATGCGATGAGTTGAGTAACACGTTTCTAGCCTTTTTTGTTAAATCAGAAGGAAGTTTACACAGTGATTTCACACTAAAAATTTCCTTATTTTCTGTCATTCTGTGTTGAGTGTCATCTTGTGCTGAACACAATGAACTCAAATGTGGATTACTTCCACGGGAACCATTCAAACAAGAACCCATAGGATATTTCATCAACTTAGTGGTATCATTTAAATCAACATTTGAATATGCGCTTGGCAAAAACGATGATAAACGATCTGTTATATATTCACTTGCATATGTAGATGTTAACAGTGAACTTTTTTCAATTAATTGTTGATCACTATTATCATATTCATTTAAAATACTTTCAGTATCATTTTTAAATACCCTTGATAATTTTGACTGCTTTTTTGATATGTTTGTAAACATTACTTTACTTCCAGTGGAGGTAAATTCATCAAAACTACTCATATAGTTTCTACTGATTGGTGGACATGCTAATGTCCCTGGTATTAACTGAAAATTAAACGAAAATTGAAAGTGTATTTATTTTAAATGAATAGATTTAGGACATATTCAACATTTGTTCAGCAAATATATAACTCCATAGTATTTTTTCAAGTTGTTATTCAGCATGAACTGACATAAGTTGGAGGAACAAAGGAAATCTGGGAGCTCTGAGCAGCTGTTTCGTCCTAGTATGGGTCTCTTCAACAGTGCGACCCACTACCACGCACCGCCAGGATTCGAACCCGTGACCTTCAGGTCCCATGGCCAGCACGTTACTCAGGTTTCTAATGTTCCTCGAACTGATGTCAGATCATGATGAATGCCAACTTGAAAAATCTCTAAACCCCTAAATTCAACTCCATAACTCCTATTGCCATTAAAAAGCATGCTGTAACTGAAAAGCTTTTGAGGATAATTAGTTAATAATTGACTTGTGTTTATTTTAGTCGAACTCTGACACTGGAAATATGAAACACACATACATTAACGGCCGAAACTCACCATCGTTTTGTTTACCGTCATTTTGCGTATAACTCTTAATCCTCTGTCGACACATAATTGATCTCCATTTGAAAGTAATAAATATACTCTCAGTCTGTATTCAACACTACCTCGTGATCCTACAAATGAACATGGACAAACTTCGGGCAATTCAAATTCGAATGGATAATATCGTTTACCAGCCAATACCAATTCACAGTTTCCAGAAACAGCTGAGGAAAACCAAAAAATATTTCATGACTATAAGTCAGGGTAATAAATATCAGAAAACGATTAAGTGCTAGAAATTAAAATTCAGTAAAAATAAGGGCTGATGGTGTACATTACTCTACAGAAGTCAAATCTTGTCTGTAAATCCGTCCTGTAGAAGTATAATTAACGGATATTACAGTATCTAGAGTATCTGAGGGAAAATAATGCCAGTAAGGTCACAGATCAGCTTAAGGAGGAAATCTCATGATAAACGTTTGTATCATTTTGTCCATAAGGGAGACAGTGTATCTTCATATATTAATAAATTTATTTTTCCGAATAATTCTTCATTATTTCGATTTTAAGGGTTGAAGTTTACAGAACCTCACAGCATCGTGGACAAAATGGACACAGTACTTTGTGTTTAAGATGAAAGTTTCGGAAACTATGTCATTTTCATTTTTCATGTGGGTTCTCAGTAAACCTATAAATTTTCTATCAGTGTTTAGCGATATTGACCTAGGCATGGATAACAGAGTTCCACTTCTGAAAGTCAATATAAGTTAAGTGATGGACTTCAAATTCAATTAGGACTTCAAAAGTTATCGCAAGTCTGAAGGTGAATTTCAACTTCAAGTTGTCTGTTATTCGACCCATTTCAGTCTGAGAAACAAAATATTCTACTTATTTTTTCTTCAACTCCAGATATTAGTTAAGTTGGATTTGCAAAAGAAACACACAAAGCTTTTCATTTCAATTTATTTGCGTTCGGGGATGTTTAATGATCTTAATAAGGCTGATTTCATAGCATAAACATATCTGCCTCCTTTCAACCACAATACTCGAGATATCATCACTTTTAAGCCATGATCCTTTGCTTCTTCACTTACTTTCAGAAATGTTATCCTATGGAATGAAGTCACTCACATAATTTACATTATAACTAAAGGTTTTGTATACAAATACTGTGAGATATGAGATGTATTCCCTCCTTCGTTACATCAAACCAGAAAGTACCAAACTTTTTAGACTGAAAGTCTTGAATACCTTTCGCTTTTCACAGTCCTCTTTTATTTAATATCTTGCATCGTTCAAGTATACATTGATCACTTTTAAAAGGTGATACCTCAAATTAGTTTACAACTTTGGCAGTGTATTAAAATCTAATTCTATATTCAAATTGTGGAGCTGTTGCAGTATACAAAAGTGCAGCATTATTCACTGTAAAACATTTGAAAGAAAAGATATTTCTCAAGATATATCTCCAGAATAAGTGTTGCACCAAACCTGTGGTGTACATTGAGTATTGATACTATGAACCAAGATTACACAAATAATCTCACTTTTCATACATTTATTTACACCTAGCATATTAAGAAGTAATAAAAAACATCATAACACAATAATGTAAATCCATTTCATCATCTTCAGTGGTTCTCGTCAGCTGCTTACAACCTTAAATATTTATAATAACAAAATACAGTAAAGTATTCACATTCTCCATCTAGTTCACTGAGATCAGTCGTAATGGGACAACGAAAATGAAACTGTCCGAAATGAAATAAAGTCAAAATGTAATACAATGAAACGAAATTTCTCGTAAAATCAGATGGGGACTGAAAAATGAATGCTGTGGAATTTCGAACAAGGAATTACATGAATCGGCGAGTGGATAAGTTATTAATGATCACAAAACAAAATGTAATGAAACACGAGCAGAACTTATCAGATTAAGACTGGGGTTTATTATGGACTGAAAATCCCATGAGAGGATAATGACATATTCAAATAAGTGAAAGGTTAAGAGATAAGTTACCATGGGATGAAGACTGATAACAGATTCCTTTTAAAGAGATAACTCTTGTTTTAAGTGATTAACCGAAATGCCGAAGATGGTCAGAACTATTCTGCTTGTTGATTATTTTGAGAGATGAAGGGATATATGTATGTAAAAGGTCTGAAGAAACAGCTTTCTGTCTAGTCATTTAAGTTGCGGAATCTTCTGCTGAATATATCCTGCAGAATATCCGAAGTTACTAAACTTAAGTTCTATGCTTATTGCCTACGTCTGTGCTACTTCTCTCCTCAGTTTAAACAGTCTCGATTACCTTGTAAACTGTTGCCTGTTAACTGTTAAGAGTCTTCGTAGTATAACAAAATCCCATGATCAAACAATGAAATTTCTTATGACAAAATTGAGGAAAAAACTGTACTTTTGACAAACTGGTTCAAGAACTGAACATTGTAAGCTACTTAAAATTCATCAACTTCATCAATGATCTTCAGTATAACACATTAAAAAAATTTTATACTTCATTGAAGACCTTGGTAAAAGAGCAGATATATGAAGTCATGAAAAACCCGAGAAACATATATACAATCTGTCAGATGTTAAACTATAAAGAGCAGAACTTGAAGCATGTCCCTGCGAAAGTTGTGAAAGTATCGAGGTAGAAGCTCAATTTCCAAATCAGTTGAATCCGTTAACCGGCTAACACAAAATAAATGATGACACGAAAGTTTGGCTCAAAGTTAGATTAGTAGATATTATCAATGAATATTTACTATCACCTTCCGCTTATCTGATTACATCATTATACTCCCATGGGATTTTCAGTCCATAATAAACCCCAGTCTTAATCTGATAAGTTCTGCTCGTGTTTCATTACATTTTGTTTTGTGATCATTAATAACTTATCCACTCGCCGATTCATGTAATTCCTTGTTCGAAATTCCACAGCATTCATTTTTCAGTCCCCATCTGATTTTTACGAGAAATTTCGTTTCTTTGTATTACATTTTGACTTTATTTCATTTCGGACAGTTTCATTTTCGTTGTCCCATTACGACTGATCTCAGCAAACTAAAGTATTTTTAATAATATTATTTTTCCCTACGGTTCCTATTGGAACATAGGACTTCGGTCGCACGCCTCCATTGCACTCTGTTGTCCTCAGTCTTTTCAACCTCGCTCCACCAATGCCCACAAGCTGTCATTTCTTCTTCACATCATCTTCTGCATGTCACCCTCACCTTGGACGCCCAACTCGTCGTTCACCATCTTGGTTCCACTCGAGGACCTGGCCTGGCACGTGATGTCTCCAGTTGACCTTCTCAGTGTGTGCCCAATCCATCTACACTTTCTTCTGTATATTTGTTGGGTGATAGGTTCTTGGTTGATACGTTGCCGGCCAGAGTTCCTTGTTGCTTATTCTTTCTGGCTATCTGATCTTCAGTATCGATTGAGCATAGATGGCAGCTGTTGATGAATGTCTGTAGTTTGTTGGAAATGCTTTTCGTGACACTCCTATTTTCTGAGCCATATAGAAGCACTGACTTGACGTTGGTGTTGAAAACCGGGATCGTGTTCTTTGTGATGAGTGCAGAAGATCTCCACACTGATTCAAGATCAGTAAAAGCCTGTCTTGCTTTTCCGATTCTGGTTTTCACATGCTCGTCTGTGCCACTGCCACCGCCTGTAGTTGAAACGGTGCTGCCTAGAAAGGTAGATGAAAGAGACTAATTCCTTTAGGTTTCTCTTGTTGACGGTGAGTGGTGCCTCTCGCTGCTGATGCTGTTGTTGGTTTGGCATGTTCATCACCTCTGTCTTCTCTACGTTCATTTGAAGTCCAGTCTTCGCTGCCTTGCCTCTTCTGTCAACTTGTTAGTTTTCGCCTGTAGATTTTCAAGTTTGTGTGACATTAGACGTAAGTTATCGGCGAAATCCAAATCTCCTTGGATCTTTTCCCCGGTTCAGTGTATCCCCCTCTTCTCGCTCCACACTGTTTGTTGCATGATCCAGTCCACTACAATCAGGAATATCATGGGTGATAGTAGACGGCCTTGTGTTGCTCTCGTCTTCACATCAAAAACATCACTGAGCTCCCCATTGTGAATTAATTGGCTGGCATGTGGCATCTTCATATAGTTGTTGAATGAAGTTGATTAAAACTAGTGGCACTCCGTAGTGTTGAAGCAACTGTCTGTCAAATTACATCTCGGTGAACGCTGTCAAAGGCCTTTTCAAAATCGATGAAGTTGAGGTAGAGAGGTGACTGCCATTCTATGTTCTGTTCTACGATGATATGTAGCGTAGCATTGCAAATTGAAACGTGCAGGAATTATTTTTCCTGAAGCCAGCCGGTCAGCCTGTTCCGGTCGTAATTTGTAATCCAAAGCATCCCTTTAGTCTTTCCATGATGATGCGCCTTAATATTTTTGCTTCAGCTAGACAGCGGCATGATTCAGCACCAGTTCTTGCAGACATTAAGGTCACCCTTCTTCCAGAGTTTGACAAGGTAGCCTTTCTTCCGATCTACAGGTACTTTCCCTCCCTTCCAAACCTTCTACAATAGTGGTGTGAGCATGTTCACAGCTGATTTTTCTGCGTCTCTCTTCAGTGCTTCTGGAGGAGCTTCATCTGGTCCTTCTGCCTTCCCAGCTCTCAGTAACTTTATGGTACTCATGACTTCTGCTTTTGTCGGAGAGTTTGTGTTCACTGAAAGTTCTGTGGCTGGGCTGCTTATGATGTTTCTGGATGAGTTGCAGGTGTTGGTCGAGTCAAAAGGTTTTTGAAGTGGTCGGCCCATTGTTTCCTTTGTTTCTCCTTTTTGCTGGTAACTAGGTTTCCTTCACTAGCCTTCATTAGTTTCATTTGAGTTGATCTCTTCCCCCAGATAGTAATCTGGTTATTTGATATTTTAGGATTTGTCCTGGTGCGAACTTGACAGACGCAAAGACCAATCACTAATTATTCGGACTTGTTATATACCCAGGAATACGAGACCAAGGAAGAATCCGATAGCGTAGTCGGATGGAATAGTATATTTGGATGGTTGTGCCAAAATACCGATGCGTTCCGACTAACTGGCTAAAGAGTCGAATACGAGCAGTGCAACGTAACACGACAGCGTGCCAAATGGCGAGGATGCTTGACCGGGTGCCTTCAGCTTAGCGAGTCCAGTTAAACTACCAAGGTCAGCATCAATGTTGAAAGTCGTCAAACCCTAGGCTATTGATTTTGGGGAAGTGTGTGACGCTACAATATAATGTTGTTTGGCCTCTGTCTCTTTTACCTTCAGCTTGTTCTGCTTTAGTCGCAAGTGTATCGTGGAAGTGTCTTTTGTCTTTGTGAGCACTCTCCTTCACTTCTTTGTCCAGTCCAGTGTTTTATAGGTTGTATTCAGTTCCTCTTTTCGTTGTTCATCCCTGCACTGCACTGCACTACACTACACTGGTTCATCTTCTGCTCCACTATCTTCCTCTCCCTCCTCTATCAGCTTCTCTGTATCCGTCCAGATACATTTCTTGCATTACTTCCTCCTCTTCCTTCCTAATACTGTTGTGCAGGTTTCCTTCCATGTCTCTTTAAAAGAGTTCCTGTGTTTTTCCACACAGGTTTCCTCGGGATGTTACTTAATATCTCCCATTTCTTCTGGATGGCTGATTCATGTGAAGATGTCCTTGGTAGTTTCGTCCTTCAGCTCACTTTCTGTTCTGGGTTTTGAGCTTGAACTGCTGTCTATCATCAGCTTCGCTGAAGGCTTTCAACTTGATTTTGAAGTTAGGTTCCTTGCACTAGATAGTGAGTGGTGTGAACCACCTTCATCTGCTCCCCAACATTCATGATCTGATCTTGTGTCCAGTGGGCTGACCGCGTCTCCATTCTCTTCACATTGAGATGGAGTCGATGTGATTTTCAGTGTTTCCTGGTGTCTGATGAAGTGCATGTCACTTTGTGAATATCCTTTTGTTTGTATGCACTGCCTCCAATCACCAAGTCATTAAATATGCTGAAGTCTGCAAGCAGTTCATCGTTCTCATTCATTTCACCGAGTGCCTCTCTACTCATGATGAGATCTCTTCCTGTGTTGTCTGCTCCCAGTTTGGCATTCATCATGTCACCCATTCGAATTTTGATGTCGCCGTCTGGCTTGGGATCTTGTCCATTACTGATTTCAGTCGTTTATATAATTCCTTCTTCTCTTGGTCTACATTATCAGTAGGTGCGTAGCATTGTGTGGTTGTGACTTTCCTTCCTTTTCAGTTAAATCTTACTTTCGTGATCCTGGAGGAAACTGGTTCCCACTGCGTAAGAGCTGTCGATACTCTTGGAGACATCATGATAGCCACTTCAAAACTCGGTGTGTTTGTGGTTGTTGTCTATGTCTTTAGAGTAGATAATTGACTCTCCAGTTTAGAGTTTTAAGAGTCCACTCCCATTCCACCTGCTTTAGCAGATTTCAAGCACTTCAATGCCATACCTCCTAATCTCTTTTGCAATCTGGGCAGCCTTGGCAGGCTCATACATCGTGCGGACATTCTATGTCCCTATGGTTACTTTCGATTTCATCGAGAGGGAAAAGACACATCGGCCGACTGGTTTCCCGAAGGCTTTCGCCAACCGGCGTCATTTCGTCTCTCTGATTCCATCGGGGAATAAGTTTGTTTTATATTTTTATATTTTCTTTGTGCTTAGAATTTTCTTTAGCGGTTGGATTGGTTTCACGGGGTAGGGTTGCTCAAACTTCTTTCTTTACCTGGGCTTAGGACCGACTAGTAACTATTGAACTAGTTAATCAGGTGAGGTAGAGTATGGAGTATGTAATTTGTTGCTGTAAATATTCAAGGTTGTAAGTAACTGACGATAACCGCCGAAGATGATGAAATGGATCTGCATTATTCTGGTAACATGTTTTGTTCTTGCTCTTTTCAACATGATTGTTATCTTTCTAAACCTCAACAGTGGGTACTGAATCCTGTTTCAGTCTTTTTCAACTCTTCACTAACTGTCATTCTATTTGCTAAGTATTGTCTTTTACTCCAGTTTGCCTCGAAAAAATTGTTCTCATCATCGAAATTTCTCAACGATTCCGGACGTGTCACTTAATTCTACTCTTCTGTTTTACCGTTTTACTGTTTACATCACATGACATTACATATATAATTGTTTATTTTACGGTAGAGTATACCAAGTTGGGAATGTCGAATATCCTTTTTATATTATTTATTTGTGTCGTTTATAATATGTCTGTATTCAATATTTTTTGTCAGTGTTTGGCAGCGGACATAAGAAGAGCTAATAGTTTCTATGAAAAGACTGTTCAACTTTCTCAGCTTTTAAGTCGAAGACCACTTTCAACAATTCTAGAAATACCACTAACACTTGTTTCATCATACTGATGGAGAAGCGAATAACTAAAATGATATAGATGTGCTGTGAAGTTTGTTTTCTGAATAGTTATTTCACTTAATTGCTATCGCGCTAAGATAGGAAAATATGGTTATTTTAACTTATATCTACTTATCGCAACTAGATTTACAAACAGATATCAGGAAAATAATTCGTGCAAGCTTCGGGTTCACGAGTTATATCATGTATTGTGTCCTGATGAAGCGCTTGTCGAGATCTATACATTTAAATTCACGCCAGGAATATGCACTGATAGTTCATATTCTTTCTATATTAATTAGTCTGATGGTTCCTCTCAATGTAAATTCGTGGGGTCAATTAAAAGTACCTTCAAGAATTCCAGCCACTAGTTCATTTTTGTGCATTAAGTTTTCAAGTGCAAGCACCAAGTAACGCTGTCACTGTTTCTTTTCGGTAATAGATCAAAAGCCAACAAATCTGCAACATCTCATATATAACTTATTTATGAGACCTTCACACAGTTTTTTTAACTAGACTTCGACAGAACTGAAAATGAAGGCAGCTTTTAATCAGCCTACTACAGAAGAACATTGTTTATGTTTCTGATTTAACACTTGTAATTTTCGTCAGATACCCGATCGTCATTTTATTTAATGACTGAAAGAACACCAAAGATTCAGCTTCATAATAGTACTGACGTTTAAGATAGGTTGAAATCTAGTCGTTGACATAAACGTTAACACATTAGTTATCAATATCATAAAAATGATAACGTACTCGTTAAAAAATATATAAATCGATCGTTATCTAACTTCTGTTTTGTTTGTCTATTGATTAAACTAACTTAAAGACCGAGATGTTTTATGTATTGAGAAAAATTCTAGACGATGATAACTAGGATAAAGATGACAGATTACAAATTCAGTTTACCTACCAATAAGAAAACACATTAAAATGATTTTGGAACTGTACAAACAACAAAAATAAACTTAAACAATAAATTTATTTCAAATAGTAAGAGTCATTTCAATATATTTATTTTTTTTTTTGACTTACCTTCTTTCACGGAAGACTTTGATTAGCATAAATATAGTTTCACTTAAAAATAATGAATCACCGATATAAAAATCGTTTACATTTTGGTTATCCACTCATTTTGTTTGAGCACTGATAGGGACAAGTAATGGGTTAGCTACTGAAAAAAAAATCAGCTACTGTGATAACATTCGATTTCTGCTTGTTCTCAGCAGGAAAAAAGACAGGTGCACGACGATAATACAGAACTGAAGGGTTAGATACATTCAGCAATAATTTGAATTCCAGTGCACTAGTGACTGGACTGTCATTAGGTGGATTTTTCAGAAATTTGGAGAGAAAGATTGAGGTACACATAGTCCTGAGGAAAATCAAACGAAAGTGTGGAACTTATGCAAGTTTACTTGATTTTGAGGTATTCGTAATTTGCTCAGTAGTGACCGACTTCTATTGCATCCTTGTCTGAGTAGTATCGACTATTTGAATGAGGAGACTCCTGTATTGTGGTACGCCGTATTTTGTGGTTTTTTGAAGAGTTCATGATTCAGTTTTAAACTCACCAACCACTACGACTTGCTTATTTCTTAGGCTGAGAGAACATATGATCTTTTCCTTTATGCAAAGCACTTACCTGGTTGCTGATAGTACAAACATGAAAAACAAGCCATTGAATCATACCTTGACTTTTAAGCTTTTATTCTATATTTCCCACTTGAAAAAATTTGTTTTCCACAGAAAATATTAAAGGCAAACAATAATCTCCAATAACCACAAGTTCAGTTGTAGGTTTAAGACAGTTGCTAGGATTTTCCCATTGAGATGAATGTTTACTCTTTCTTTGTTCGTCGGCCGTAAAACAAACAATTCTCATCAGCTATTTACATTAAATAAATTGTTACTTTCTTCAGATCTGAAATTAGTGAGCAGAGTAATTACCAAGGCGATTCTTGAAGTTATTCCCAAAGTCAGCACTTCATTTCAACATTTCGACACCTACGTCTTTCAAAGACAACTATCTACCTGGAAACACATAAACATCAGGATAAATGAAAAGAAATAGTACTTAACCATCAAGATGACTGGAGACTTTTACATCTTTCCGCATGGTTTCCAGTCACTGTATATCACCTTATATGCAGAAAGCAATCTAGCTCTTATAATTATTTGCATTATCCACTATTCTAATAAATTTTCCCAAGTTAACAGGGTGATAATTAGATATAAATTGCTCAGTGTCATGAATAAACATACTATTTAGATCACTATAACGAACTGCTTGTGTGTCACGGTAAAATACACCTCTACTGAATTCATATTTTCACAGATTTGATTTGCTTTAAAAATTTTCATATCAGAAGTTGTTACTATGGGTTCACAGTCATTTGAAAGTAAAACAGTAAGAATTTATGTTGTGAAGAAAGAATATTAGTACAATGTTAAGTATTCAAGCTTTCGATATTTGAAAACAGATGTTATCTGCACTGCTAATTGAAAGTCTACTGTGTAAAACAGATTATATTTTGGATATCACTACTTGACTATCAGAAGCTGCCATTTATATACATACCTCAGAGTCATAAGGTTTGTGATATTTAAAAAACTAGAAAATTCATCCATTTCTGGAAACAATAACTAAACTTACCTCCTCCTATTAGGATTGAGTTCACAGAACAATAAATTTCTTCATTGACAGTTTGAAATGCTGGCATCAATTTGTCAAATCCCTTCATAGATTTACATTTTAAACGATCTTGTAATACTTCTGGGTCAACCGGTCCATTAATCCCTGATACAATACAACCAACACCTTCATAGGATGTAAAATTTTCCTGTAAGGATTTTCTTTCTTTTGTCCATCCTTTTGTACAGCCTTTAGATAATGTCAAGTTTTTTGGTGCGACAACAACTGCTCTTCCAAGTAGTTCAATTTGTAAAACTATAATTCAATAAAATAAAATAACATGCATTCCTTGGTCAGGATTCAAATAAAGTAAAACGTTTTGTGGAATTGAAACCTACTTACAAAAAATAACAACATCAAAGAAGAGCATTCTACGCTGATGTTTTTGTAAAATGAATACGTAAACTTACCAAACAACAATTCGAAATATTTTATGAATACTGTTGATTTATATTCAGGCTAGTCTTGAAACGTTCTTTGGTATCCAGGCACAAGGCAGAATATGCCACTAAATATTCTGCCAAACGGTATGAGTGGTTTCTAATAACGAGATGATTCCATTTTGACCAGTAGAACATATAACCGATTCTCAATATCTTTTGACTGTTAAATAGCTAATAAACATCTTTTTAGCTAGGGAGGAAGTATGCAGCAACAAATAGCCTAAAGCATACATTTTGTTTCATCGAATCGGTGGAAAATGTCTGTGTATTCACGAAATATATGCTTTATCTGTATGTTAGCTTTCTCCTTATAAGGATTCCCCTGCTGTTTCACATACAAATGCATTGGGTCTAACGGCTTAAAAAGTATTATACCTATCAACAACTTGAAAGATGAGCCTTCAATACCTAGTTCAAAATTCAGGAAAGAATTGGATGTATCAAAGAATGATGTGAAAATGGGGTTTCCTCTTGGTTTACTTCTAAATGATTGTCTCATGGCCTATGCTGAAAATGGTATCCTTTATCCATTAATCAGACAGCTACACTTTTGAAAAAAGTACCTTGATGACATTCTTAGTTAGTATATATGACAAAGTATCTGACTTCATAACCCTACTCGACGCCAGTGCTACTAATTCATTTCAAAAATTCCTTCTAGATTGCTAATCACATTTGATATCCTTATTCCTGAATGTATTACTAACAAAAAGACCAGATAGTTCTATATGGAGATCAGCGTAGAGAAAAATAACAGGACTTTACACTTTATCAACTTCCAAAATTATATTCTTTTCATTGGCAAACTGACCTCTGTATGTTTGGTATGTTCAACGGTTCGAAAAATCTGTTCTAATGATAAACTAGAAAATGTGTTAAATTGTTCGCGTAAAATCTTACTAGAAAAAGGTTATTCAACTAGATTCACAAACAATAACAGGAAAAAGAAGCAGCAAATATAAAAGTTACTGACTCTCTAGGAAAAAATGCCATATGAACATGTAATTCAGTGGTGAAATTTTCAATTGAAGTCTTTGAAAACCACTTGTTAATATCTGTGAGGAAGGAAGACATTTCATTCAACTAGCTTCAGAATCATATTCTCCAGTAGACAATTAATCCATGAGAGCATCTGGGGTAGAATATAGCTTTAGGCCACCGCAAAATGCACCTGTCAGTTTACTTTTTCCCGTAGGTCATTGACCAGATCTTTGTGTTCACAAACAGCCTACACTTATTAGCCTTACCATGGCCAGAGTAGCAATTTCTTCCTATCTTCAGAAACAAATTTTTATTCTACACATAAATATTGTTGTAGTTCAACAACACTGTTGATTAAGTTATTAGCCATTTTGAAGGAAATTCATAGATGCACGGCATAATCTGAAGAGCAATCCTCAGTGAAAGTTTAGTTGTAAGCGAAAACTTGCAGTTAGTAACCTGAGACACATCTACTAAACAGTGAAACTCGACTGCTTACATTATGCTGTTTTCATTTCAAACATTCCAGATTAAAGATTATTTATCGTAGCCAGGAATATGTTTAATCCCCCTAATCCGAGGTTAAGCTACATGGTTTCACTTCAAAATTCTCAGTTTATCTTCTCGTCCTAACCACGTCAGCTTTAGCCAAAAGCGATATCATCTTACAAGGTATTAAATTATTTAAATAACAAATCTGAGATTTTCAGAGCAGCTAGTAATTATTGTGGATTAATTTAGTGAAAGTGAATCGGATAAGCAATTCGCTCTCTAATTGGAAGTGACAAACTATGAAACTGTTAACTTGGAAGTAACTGTTTTAACTTCAGTCTGAGACAATAATTTTGAACATAATTCTTGGTCTTTCAACATTCTTAACTAGCCCAAGTACTTCATTTGGTCACATACCCTTACTATAGTGCGACTTCTCTTACTTTGGCTGTTATTCAGTCGAACTTAGGAAAGTTCACATAACTAGATTACTGCTATGAGCCTTTGATAGGTGCTCACCTATGAAACCAAGGAGCATTGTAAAACTCGAAAGCCTTAAAAGTATGACATTTTTGTGAATACTAATAAAGGTGAGGAAGTATGATGAGGAAAAGTTTTGTAATTTTGATTCTAAACGGTCAGCATTTCCTCAGAACTAAGTCGACTTGAAAATATTAGTTAATTATTCATCATATCACATAATGCTGTTATAAGTATACTACCATAGTTGAATGTACTCTAGAATTTGCATACATTACAATGTAATGCAGTCGTAAAAATGTAGGGAATAAATAATTCTTCACTTTTAGCTTCAAAGCGATATGGGGAGAACTCCCAATAATCTTAATTTAAAAAATATGACAATAAGAAGTATTATGAATACTATTACGCTTTATAAAAAGACTTAGAATGACATATAAACTGGAACGTAAAGAAAAGGTACACAGCGTGACCAAGTATACGCATTTTATCAGCTGCAAATCTAAGTAGATTACGGCATTCTTAGCTCTCAGAACCTTGTGGGCTGTTGGCGAGGATATCACAAATAACACTACTAATAAACTTATTATCATTCTAACTCAATGAAATAAACGTTTGGAAATTATTGTATTACTGTGAAAAGTTCACAAATAACACTTTTTTTGGGTCGGCTGTTACGAACCTCTGCTTAATAAATCCAGCATGCTTTTCCATGCTTAGCATGAAGATGTGCCCTGGACCATGGTGACTCTAAAGTTTACTAGAAGACTTAAAATCATGTCATGCTCTGTCGCTCCATTAACTGTCAATAAGCGCCAACCCCAAGACCAGATACTTTTTACTGAATATCAGGCTAATATGAGTTATATACTTTGGCATTGCGAATCCAGATAATACTTTCAGTGTCACGATTCTGATGATGATGATAATAATAATAATCATTTCTAAGTATCTTGTATTTGTTTCTGAATACATACATGCAACCTTGACTGCCAACCATGCCACAAGAAACTCTGTAATGTTGTTTAACTTCGAATTCTGTATCTGGTTGGAATACAGCTTGGAAGGTATACTATCTCTCAAAGTTCACCCCTTCATTATTTTCTTATATTGTTTGAAAACTTTACATGTGGTTCAAAAAAATGTTCATAAATGCCAGTATGTTACAAACTGTATACAATTGTTGCTGAGGTTTTAGTAAATAATATGTACTACCGTTCCTAAATAACAATAAATTTTTACTCAGCTGTGTTCACAACCACAACCCAATTTACCTGGTAACTATTCAAAGCTCAGTGTGCTTTTCGACTCCTTCAAGGTTCATGTTTGGATAAAACAATTCTGAGGCTTGATTTAACGATCCAAAGAGTAAATTTCTCAACTGGAACGTACCTTCTGAGCACTCACTGAAGGATGGTGACCATTGGTGCATACATAGTTTGCATAGGAAATGCCCAAGTATGTCATGAAGTCAATTGGTTGGAGACCATCGGCAGGAAGCCCAGGACCTAGGTTTCGTCCCTGTCTGCAATCGTCAGCAAGACGTGTCTGAAACTTCGAGAGAAGTTGTCCTTCTATGAGATTCAAACCCGAGTCACCCAGTCTTGTAGTCAGCAACGCAACCACGGAGCCAGTGCTGATGCGATTGAAGTGTATAACAACATCTCACCATTTTTTATTCGGTTTTTAAATTTTCAAACTATAAAATCCATACTGTTACAGAAAATCACTTTTGTATAAATGAGTTGAAAACGTATTCCATAGTGATCGTCCCTAAAGAGCTCGAAGGTAATCTCTATGGTGTATAACAAGAGTATGCAGGTATACCTTCCAGACGTTCAGACAAACATTAATCTTATGAATAACTGCTATTTCAGTCCGCCATATAAGTAGATTCGAGGGTGACAGGGAGGAGATCGTGCGAGGAGGAAATGAGAGCTTCTGGGCTGTCGTGGAACCAGGTTCAAAAGATCTCAGAGAACAGAGGTCACTGGAGACGTGCTACTGAAGCCCTATGTTCCACTAGGAACCCAAGGACTAATAATAATAATAAATATAAGTAGATTAAGATTATAACTGATTTGAATGAATAATACGGTTTCAAACTAGAATTGTCTGCAGAAGAGATGAAAACTACGCGAATTCCTAAAATATTTATTTTATGCCTGTAAAAATCCAATAAGAGGTTTCTTCAGAGTATCGAGCCGTACAGATGTTGCCTAATAACCATGGGTTCAAATAAACGTCTGACAAAATGGAAATTTTCAAACTTCGAACTTTTTTTAATAAGGAGGCTTATAATTTCATTTAAATGCCTAAGCATAGTCAAGAATGAGCATCTGATTATAAGTCAACAGCAATGTCAATTACTTGTACAGCTTTTTGTATTTCCGTTTTCTCTGCTCGGATGGTTATGTTGATATCTTCTGAAGCTTAATAGACACTACAATTGGGTGGTAATTTTTGTCAAGTCTCAGCATCATTGAGATCAAAATGAAAAACTACTGGATAAATGACTGAGTTGTATATACATCTGTTTAATGGAGAATCACTTAGTCTATGTAAAATCACTTTTAAGTACGTCTAAAGAATTAAGTAGTGAATCAGACGCTTCCACTGAGTTCTGACTACTAAGTATTTACTAATCTGAACTGAACTTTACTGGCTTTCTTACTATTAAAAACACTTTATAGAATTCAATAAGCCTGCAAATTAGTACTATATAATTCTGCGAAGCAAAGCTGTATCAGTTTATAAATTGGTAGCCAACTCAAGAATTGAGGTTGATTGCAATGGGATAAACAAATATTCTATATATACGGTTCAAATGTTCACCAGTGACATGAATTTAAGTTTCGCTTAATCCTGTTCTTACTGATAATTTTTCTGCTAGATGATTCTCATCAAACTAGGCCAGTTTGTAGGGGTATTTTCATAAATTTGCTTTAAAAAGATGCATTAATACATACATCATTCAAACCTATCTACTTCTAGCATCAGGAACACATTAGAAACTCTCAACACCAGCCCTACGTATCAGTATACGCGGAAAATAGTCAGTGTAATTTGCTAAGGTCCCTTCAATTTTACGCCTAACAGCAGACATACTAACCTTCACAGTAAATAGAAAGATGAGTAAAAGGTGGCTCTGTAATTGATTAACCACAAAAGAGTAAGTAGTGTTTAAATAGGCAACCCAGTTTCTTTCAGGAAAGTTTGCAACCTGTTGACGAAACTGGGCAGTTCACAACTGAGGTGATTTTTGACTAACTTCAGATGGTGGAAACCAATAGATAAGTAGTAAGAGTACTTATTTTCGAGCCTACTGGTTGCGCTTAACGATGTCGGTATTGCATATAAACCTTTTTAGTGGGTGCCAATAAGCTCAAAACCTAGGGCACAAGCACCTTCCGGATTGCCTAAACAATTTTCACTTCAATAATGACTCCATCAAATATTTAAAATCTTCACGCATATTTTTTGGTAAAGAGTGGAATTTGGACAATACTGTAGATTATCATTTTCAGCATCTGAGATAGCCTTAGTTTGGCAGATGAGTACTTATATTGGGTGATGGTTGAAGGTGAAATGAAAGAGCTTGAAGATAATCTCTATGGTGTATAACAAGAATATGCAGGTATACCTTCCAGACGTGATGGTTGAAGGTGAAATGAAAATTTGGGCCGCGGCCGGATTCAGACCAGTGACCACCAGCTTTCCGGCCCAACCTCGTAGCTCAGTTGCTAGAGCATCGGGCCAAGAACCCGGCGGTGGCTGGTTAGAATCCAGCCGTGGTCCAAATTCTCATTTCATCTTCAGTCATCACCCAGTATAATTACTGTAAACTACAATGTATTACCAGTTTTTCGATTCATTATGAACAAGTCATATTGGTGAAAGGATACACATATTACACTAATATTTTGAAGAGAATATTAGTCACATTAGATATTTCTTTATAGCTAGATGGTTTTACATTAGTGACAATAACAAAGTAAACTTGAACATTGGTCTCACAGTTTTAGACTTACTCATTTTAAGCTGTTGCTATTTTCCTTGTACTAAATACTGTTTTCACAAGTAAATTAATTCACGCTTACCTGCTTGATTGGCTTCCATGGAAGGGGACTTGCATACTCTGTTCAAGACATCCAAGTTTTAATTAATATAAAAGTTAAACTTGCGTACTGTGGCATAGTTTAGTTCCATATTAGTTCATTTTATAGATCCACCACAGAGTGAAACAGTATTATTTACTGGACTACGTTTCGTCAAGAATTTATGATATAGTCATAGCATGAGATATGCTTCACATAGTTCGAATGCACTCGTATTCCATGCCATATACTTGATAGGTTTTCCCTCATATCCGAAGCAGGTGCTGAGTCGTTAGTGTTGTAAATATTTGATGTTGGTTCTACAAACTGACTCGACTATTAGTCTCTTCCTCCACCCACTAAGTTAATTTTAATGATTTCACTGTATCTCATCTTATTTTGTGTTCATGTGTAATTACAGAAATAGCTAAATGTGAGCATTCTTACAGATTCCTCATCTTACTAGGATCTACCATTTTTGGTTTAGCTAGATTTTTATGGTTGTATAGCCTTAGATTATGTAACCGGATCTGTAAAAGCATTTTTATGAGAGATAATATTTTGAAGTGAATACAAATAACTATGTAAGACGAAAAGTTCTTCTCATAAATGTACTGAAATAAAATGCACATTCGCAATAAGCCAAAACCCACTGCTACTTGCGAGTGGAATTTTGTGCATAAATTAATTCGCAGTTTAATGACAAAGAAAAACCAAACAATTTTTCTTTGTAAATAGTGTTGGTAATGCTCTTGTATAAAGAATTTCGAGCACGCTTAAACAGCTGTGGAGTGGTTTCTTTTATATAACGGTTTTCATAAAGAACATGACTGATAATTAAAAAAGAGAATCGAAATTCCCTCATCTTAGTTCAATTTAGTTTCGATTGTTAAGTATTCAATCATCCTGTAGTAATGACCTTCAGTTCAAAAGTATGTCTGAAAAGAGGTACACTTTAATGTAAAGATTAACTCTCTACCGCAAGAATAGTTAACTATTGAACTCTTTTGATTGTGGATTTTACCTCATTAGTTGGATAAATGAAATTTACACATATATATTTTTACTTATGAAAAGGAATAGACTTACTCTGAACACACAGGACATCCTTAGTTTCTAAGACTACACATCCTGTGATCAATTCTCCGCTATAGCATACTGGTAGGATAGATTGATCTAAGATAATATTCAGGGAAATACGTTTTTTCAACTCAACTTTATTTACATTTTTATATATGATTGATGTATGTGACATAACTAAAGTTATGATGAGACAGTTATTGCATATATATCAAAAAGTAGTAGAAGCGGAAGTAATCATATTTATGATCTATATCATATGAACTGAATTTTTTTTCAACATGCATGTGTGCAGGATATCCTTTGAATTACTCAGCTGATTAATATTCAGAAATGTGTTTCAGATTTGTCCTTTTTCGTGATAATCACAATCCAAAACAACTTTAAGTATGATTTTCTATCATTCAGATGAACATTTAGCGACAAGAATGCTATAAATGTTGAGCTCTCCGGGGTTTAACCAGGAAGATGCATTGATGAACTCATGTAGAAGATTTGATTACACGTATATTTATCCGCATATGTATCTAGTGTGTTATTAATTGTCATGAAAATGACTAGTTCACCAAAAGCTATGATAACAATCAAAAACAAATCTCTTCGTTATATATCTCTTATCTCGCTGAAATTATAATTTAACACTATATATATATATATATATATATATATATATATATATATATATATGGGTTGTTAATCAGGTATTTCTATTTGCTAATTTATCAATGTTTGTGCAAGTCAGTAGTGCACCACCACCACCACTACCATCGTCATCAGTATGTAGTAGGATGAAACGATAAATTGTATCAAATTACTTGAGTGAATTTGGTTGAGTAACTTGAGATAAATGAAGCCACTAGGTAAGAAAATATTTTGTATGGCGTGTTGGTGACTAATCAATGTCAATAGAATAAAACATCAAGATGTACAAAAGTCCACTATGATATACTGAAATGAATGTCCACAGGGCTAAGTTACACAGCTGTAAGTAGTTGGTTATTGTTCTCTCTGTCTCTCAATAATGTAGTTTGTATAACATGGATTATACAAAGATTAATAGAAAAACCTTTGGCATGTCTACATTGATGTATGTTATATTTACGTTAAAACTGTCACACGTGTGCAACTGTACACAAGTTTATTACACCCATATCATGCGCGAGAAAACACCTGCATACACACATACTTGCGTTGAATACAGAAACTAAGATATCATTGACAGAGTTCACAAAACACTTATACCCTTGTGTTATTGACTTTTGCACAGATCAGTGTGATTGGTAAAATGAGTCCATCTGTATAGTCTTAAAGCGTATATATGAATTCATACTCATGAAAAGACCAATCAGTTAAAACATTTATGACTAAAGTGATTTTGGATTGATGATAGGTTTAATGACTTCGTGAACTCACGTTCTGTAAAAACTAACATTGTGTTTTTTATTTTTAAAAAAAGTAAAGTATATGTTATATTCACTTGTTGAAAAGTATAACAGATCAATTTCAGATATACTTAATATACGGTTGCATTCAGTATGCTGCATGTAAAAAAAACAGTTTTCATATATTTAATGTCATCTAGTTACCAACTGAACAGTTTTAAACCTGTTATTAACAGAAAACCACGAAGTTTAAGGTTAAACCATACTATTTATGAAATAGGCGCGTAAAAGTCAACAATATATGAGTAAATACAATATTTCAAAATTAATCAATGTTTAAATAACATTAAAAATCTGCTACATGCCCATACAGCTATATTTCAACGGTTCAACGTGTGAATTTATGTTATCTAAATTGGTTGACTTTAAATTTCACACTGGGAACTACAAAAATAACCAATTAGCTTACTTTATTTCAACTATAGTCGAAAGTTAGTTTTTACCTAAATGAAGAAACTTAATAGACTAGTTCAGTGCTTGATATGGAGGCCTTTGTAGTTTACTCGGGAAAAATGCCCAGTATACAAATATGACAGACACATTGAGAAAAATCATTTGATGAAGATGAGTGATAGATACTGTAAGGTATGATAATTGTTCAGTGTTCTTCAAGCCTTGAGGTTTGATCTTGGATATTTCATCCCCACACACGGAGACTTCTGTAATATTTTTTTTCTTTGTGAAGTTTTGGTGTTAAATAGGGGAATTAGTTGGTAGAAAGCTCTGGACTTAAGCTTGTGCTTTTTGATAGTCATCAGTTAGTCTTATCTACAACCATGAAGAAACTGGTTCTTCTTAGGTGATTCGTACCTATATCAATAAATGACGAAATCAGAGATTTCACAGCTAAGCTGTTGAGCTTGTTCAGTGTCAACAAGCACCACTTTTAGGTCCAAGGTGTCTTGCCAACAGATTCCCACCAGGTGACACCAGAAATCGATCAACAACTGAAAAAGGACTAAACTTAAATGTGACGATGGATTATCTAAAACCTGAAAATGTCATATGTAGCATTAGTCTCGGTTGATGCTGCAACAGCTGAATAGGTTAGAACATAGTGTGCATTGGCACTGAAAAAACAAAACAAGACACAATGAGACTAGAAAATTCAATTTCAAATAATCTACAAATTGACAATAACATACTAATTGTTAAATCTGCTAAATGTAATTCAGCAGTAGCTATGGACAAATCGGATTATCTCAACAGAATTGACGAACATATCCAGACAAGACTATACTAAGAAATGAATAGACCTGTAGACAAGTTTGTAAATAAAATTATGAAATCTACGGTCGATCTGACACGCTGACCAAAGCTATCTCTAGTTGAGTCTAAATGCTTTAATTTAATACCTAAAACTAATAATTCTAGTAGTATTTACGGTACTATTAAGTTTCATAAACCAGGTTATCCCATTATATTGATAGTTAACTTCTAAAATACCCCAACTTATTGACTATCAAAGTACATAGCATCAATATTACCTCCTATTAGGGAGCGTTCAAATTCTAGACTAATCAGTTCTTACGAGTTAAAACTAGGACTCAATGACCTACACCTATCGGAGGATGAAAAAATAGTAAGTTTCGATGTAAAGAGTCTTTATAGTAAAATACCAATCAATGTAGTGCAGAAGGCAGTCAGAAATCAACTAAATATTGACTCAGAACTTACTCATGGGACTAAGATATCTGTCGATGAAATAATATTCGGCGTATAGTTGTGCCTAACCCCCACAGTCTTCAAGTTTCAGAGCAAAAAATACAGACAAACAGAAGGAGTAGCATTGAGATCACCAGAATCCTCAATCACAGCAGATATATTTATGGATTGTTGTCAAAATATGGCTTGACGAACGTACAATCCTGCACCTAAGATACTGTGGCGGTACGTAGATGACATATTTATTGTGTTGAAATCGGAACATGTTGACAGTTTCTTCACACATATAAGCTCAGAAGTGCATGCAACCTAATTCACTTACGAGGAAGAAAATGAACAAGGAGAATTAGCTTTGTTGGATTGCAGAATAAAACAAAGGACCGACGGTGGTTTTGATGCTAGATTTCAGGTCATCTCATCCGATGTCAGTTAAGTCGGGTTTAGTCAAATGTCTAAATAACAGAACTAAAAAGCTTACTAGTCATTCTAGGGACTCAAACAGGGAATTGAAACACATAAAAGAAGTAATGTATTTTTGAGATGAATGGGAATTTTTAGTTTAGACGTACTAGGACGAAATAGCTGTCTAGTGTTCCCAGATTTTTAATGGTTCCCTAACTGATGTCAGTCCATGATGAATACTACGTCTAAACATAAAAGAAATGTTAATAATTAACAATTATTCTCCACCGAACATATAAGAAACAAAGTAATAACAGTAATGTGAATACGAATAATAGCGACAAAACGTATAAAAATGAGTTCAAAGCCTATATTGTGTTACCGTGTAGAGAAGGAACATCAGAAACTTTACACTGGATTTTCAATAAGGCTGAAACTAGGGTGCTGTTTAAGCCTACAAACTCACTCAAAGATAAGCTTCATTGGCTTAAGGATCCGATAGAACCAATTAAGCAAAATAATCTAATCAACCAAATTCCATGTAATGACTGTGAGATTAAGTAAATAGGTCAAACTAGCCAGTCGAGGTCAGTTAGATTAGCAGAACAAATGAATTTAGCTAAATATAGAATGACAGACCCCAATAAGATGAATAATCTTAAAAAAAACTCAGCTACTGCAATCCATGCATGCATTAACGCATAACCATATAATAGGCTGCGATAAAACCACTGTACTTAAGTCCAATATAGTTAGGTGAACAGGGTGATTGATTGCTGAATCGTCATTCATTGAATCAACACCCAATACTTGTAATAGGAATGATGAAATACTTATACCAGAGATATGGAAAATTTTACTACTACTGAAAACAAAGAATTTAAGGTAACAGGACTATACAAGTCAGATGTCGAAATCAGTGTGATTAAATTGATATCAGCAATAATTTATGCTGGAAATACTATTAAGTAAATAATACTATATCACTGTGCGTTATAAATCAAATAAACAAATCTAATATGGAAAGAAGTGAATGTTGATGAACTCTCCTAGCCCGGTGATGAAACATCAAACTTCAAAGCTTAGAGAAAACTTAACAATTACCATTCTTACTCTCAGCTGCAAATCTTCTCTGGTGTGAGGAATATTTCATGCTGTCGGATTAAATAAGCACATAACTCGTTACTGACCACACTTGTAGTGTACTCCTATGATAGTTTTTCACTTGTCATTTTCACTATGCTTCCTGTCATTTGAGTAAACGTTTCTTTGCTGACACAGTACAAATTCTTGGTTGCTACTACTCAAATAATTTAAGAAAATCATGACATGTTGATCTCATTCGTATTTAGATACTAATAATGACTGTTATTCTTGTTATATTTTATGATATGAAAATTGGTCATCTGAAAAACATTTATGTAAAAACGACAAAGTTAAGTAGTCATAATGATGATAATGATAATAAAAAGCGAGAAACACAAGATATACAGAAAAGTGAAAACTGAAAGACTGGTTTGCAGTGAAATGACTCATGGACCGTCAAAGTTTAAACGACTATAGTTTTTGAATAAAAATTAGTGTGCACTGTTTAGTCACAAAATCTTATTAGTTCATCCAATGTGTAACAGAATTCTTTTCCTGAAGTTATCGTATCTTCCACTGTACAATTCATGTGACTTACGAATTTGTGATGAACCTCTGGTTTACAAAAGAACTCCCAGTTAGGAAGTTGAAGTCACCTACCAGTATATGCATAAGTAACTTACGGGAAACTATCAAGCCGAACAATTCCCAAACTTCATTATGGTTGATTTCTTATATGTGTCAGGTAGTTAAACAGTATTATTTAGTGAATCACGTTTCACATACAACTGATTATCCATGGTCAGATCAAGATAAATCCACAGCTTTGAGAGATGGTTCATAGTGTTCCAATACTATAGCCTTCTTTGTGATTGGCAGCAGGATACTGGTAACAGTATTTCCCACATTTCCGGAGTAGGTGCTGAGTCGGTTGTATTGTGAGTAATTGTGAGTGATTCGACAAACAACGATTTCTTCATCAGTGTCTCCCTCTAAGCAAATAAAATTTTAAGGCTGCAATTCTGTCTC